ACAAACATAGGGTGAACTAAGTTTCCTCCATTTAGCATATCAGACGTCCTCCCTTTTCTCACGCTCCTATTCATCCGCTCGCACACCAACTGAGAACAGCTAGCGCGCTATAAAAGTAAAGCGTACGCGCGCCTGTTATCTCTCCAGCCTCCGACAACCAGGTCGTACGTAGTTGGCTCTAGGGATGCATTTTTTGCCACAGATGTTAGCCTACAGCTTGTCACTTTTTCAGATGTCTTTGTGCCTTCCTCTGCCGATTATATATTGCAGATAACTTGCAAAAGAACAATTTTCGAAAGGGGCTTCTAGGCTAGAACACAGTCCGGATCCAATGTAGTAAGAACTCTGCCTGACATATTCAGGTCTACATATTTGTGGTAGGCGCAAAGTTATTACCACCATACTGAAACTTCAATTAATTATTGCAACTCTTCACTTCAGCAAGTAGAGTTCTATCTGATAACATCATATTTAATATTGTCACTAAAAATCTCACGTAATTATGATATTTAATGGTATTTACCGACAAACGGAGAGCACACTCACGAAGGCCTTTTCTGCCTCGTTGGGCGTCATCAGGTGGTGGTAGCTCAACTCCAGTGTAGCAGCGGAAATTGCAGCCACACTCGAATTTCGAACCCGCGTCTCTCGGGTCAGAGGCGAACGCTCTACCTCTGAGCCACGGGTCCGCCGTGTTGTCGGTTTGTGATCGGTGTAAAATAACCCATTACTATCTCACGTAATTATTTACTATACTGTCAGCACAGGTACTCGATAGAAGTCCTCACAATATTTTGCCGCTGCATGACACAGCTACACGGGGTTCGGTTCATCAGTAAGTTGCCGAGCATTCTATAAATATCACGCCTGATAAACTTCGATCTACCTGATCTACTTCCAACTATAAATTAACTTCTAGGAGCTCATTTACAACAGCCTCAAGCCCTTTCACCTTTCGTTTGTGCACTATACATATAGCCTCTATTACTTTGGTGCTTGTTTTAACCCTGTAGACGAAAAACAGGGAGATGTCCTCAACGAGTCTGTTTCGGCTGCGTCCTCTCCAAAGAGATCTAATTGGCCGCCATTGTC